CCCTCCCAGCTGCATCGGCTCGTCCGTGGTGGCAGTAATCCGTGTCCTGGAGTGGTCCCCGGACCCCGATGTCCGAGTCGTCTCGCGGGAAGCCCCTCGGAAAGCAGCATGCCGATACGGAAACCATCCACCTGCGCGCTCCTGGCTCCTCTCCCGAATACGGTTGTCCAGGACCAAGGTGAGGTCTATGAGCTCCTCCAAGTCAGAGCTGTTGTCGCGGGTAGCCAGTTCGTCTTTTAGTAGCGTGTTCAAACCGCGGCGAAACAGTCCACATAATGCTCGGTCACCATATCCACTTTGGGCGGCCAAAATACGAAAAATAATGGAATTGTCCGCCACCGATTGTGTTCCTTGACGGAGCTCTAGCAACCGGCCTTCGGCCTCTCTTCCTCGAACGGGATGATGGAACACCCGACGTAACGCGGCAACGAAATCGGGGAAGGAAGACCGGAGGCTCGGCTTTGCCTCTCTCACTCCCAGTGCCCATGACACCGCCTGACCAGTCAACAAGCTCATGACGTAAGCTACCTTGGACTCGTCATTGACATAAGTGGACGGTTACTGATCAAAAACGAGTGAGCACTGATGGAGGAAGTGCCCACACTGACCATGCTCACCGCCATAGCGGGGAGGGTGTGGCAGTATCGGTTCCCGACAACCTGTCGGGGAACGGTCGGATATCTCCGTGGTAGCACGGGGGATTTCCGGAGTTGGCGTCCTCCGGTTTTCTAATCGCTCCAGTCGCGACCCGTAACCCTCGAACTGGTGGGCCAACATGGAGACCGCGTCGCGGAGCTCTGCGATTGCCTGACCCTGCTGACTCACCAGTTGTTCTTGGCTGGCCAGAGAGGACAAAATCTTGTTAATGTCTGCGGAATCCATGGTGGCCAGAGAATTCTGTCACGTTGTGAGCGAAGCGGGAAGGAACCCGCTTCATTCGCAACCAAAATTGATCTATAGGATTCCCGAAACAGCAGACAACAACAAGAACTCCGTATGAAAATAAGATTTATTAACAAAAACCGCACCGCAAAAACGAGACAACAGAAAACGCTGGCAAAAAACGAGTACCAGGAAAACACGCAAAAAACGAGTAACAAAAAACGCTCGCACTAAGGCAAGGGGGAAAAAACAAACTTGTCACTATTTAACACACACCGAAATGACTACACCAAATCTAACTCGCGTACTAAGTCGAAACACGAAAAGGCAAAGAACCGACACAATGGGCAAAGCAGTGGCACGGCAAGCAATTCGCCGGCGAGTGAGAGTCAGAAAGACAGCCCTAATAAAGCCAGTGCTTAATAACAAATAGGTAGCAGGTGTGCAGCCGGCCAGAAAGCACCGTCTGCCACCTGCTGTCGAAAACGCAACATGACAGAAGCAGGTGCAGAGGAAGCGGCGCGTGGCCGACATCTATATCGGCAACCTGGCTCTGGCCGACTTGGTCATCTCGGTCACGCTGCCCTTTGGGGTGGTGTGCGTAGCCATGGATCAACACTGGCCCTTTGGGGCGGCCCTGTGCAAGATCATCAGCTATGTGGAGACCCTCAGTACGTTCGCCAGCATCTTCCTCCTCACCAGCATTAGCTTCGACCGTTACCAGGCCATCGTGCATTCACTGCCCAGCAACCATTTGTGCACCGGCGGCCACATCGGCGCCTCCCTCTTTGCCGCCTGGACGCTGTCGGGCCTCCTGTCTGTTCCTGCCCTCGTGTTCCGCACCACCCAGCAAGACCTGAGTAGCAACAGAACTTTCTGCACCCTGGACTTCAGCCTGGTTGTGAGTAACAGGCATCAGGAGAGCCAGTGGTTCAGCGGGTTGAACTTGTCGATGTGCACCCTGGGGTTTTTACTCCCCTTACTGGCCATGATGGTGTGCTACGGGTTGATCGGCTGGACCGTGATGCGCCACTTCCACATCTGGCGCAAGGAGGACCAACGCAAGTGGCGACTCTTGAAGATCACCATCACGGTGGTTGTGGTCTTCGTCGCCTGCTGGATCCCTTACCATGTGGTGATAAGCACGGGCGCCATGTACGAACTGCACCTGATCCCGATCACCTGTGCTTTCGAGCGCTTCCTGTTGCTGGTCAGCCCGTACACCGTCTGCCTGGCCTACATCAACAGCTGTCTCAACCCCTTCCTCAATGCCTTCTTTGACCTGCATTTCAGGTCGCATTGCCTGGGCCTTCTTCACCTCAAGAAGTTCCGCCAGACACCGACGAAGGTGTAGCACGCCCGGAGGACTCAATAAACACGAGGTGCTTACTTCCACATTATTGACCTACTAACAATTGGAGAATTTTCAAAGGACCAAATGTGAAGTAGAGTTTGTAGAATGCAGGGACATGCGTTTTTTTTTCCCATTCTTGTTCTCTGGTCTTTGCTTGGTATAAGATTTCTTTTTTTAATCCAATAATGTCCGTGATGTCGTCATTAAAAGTGGCAAATTTGCAATTTGCATATTTCCTCTTCAAATGCATAGATGAGATGGGAAGTGTGTCAACAAGCAACCAGCCTCACCTCAAATTGCAAAGTTGGTAATAGAAAGCAGAAATAGCACACATCAACAGCACCATGTGTTGTAACTGAATGAAAAAGTTCATGAACCTGTTCATAATTTAGGCGAACATAAACAGAATGTAGTGTATTTTGGCCTTATGAACAGTTTTGCAAAGACGCTCATTCTGGCGCCGCTGAGCGGTTTTTTGAATGGCAGTTCATTTAAATTCAAGAGTACCATGATTTGTTAGACTTCCAGGAGGAAATCTGGCTTCATTTGAAATTAGTCATGACGGATATACCCCTTGAGATGAATCATCTCTTTTTCGAGGGGGTTCAACATACAAAATCAATGAACGTAACATGAAGACATCACAAGCAAAACATCACTGCCCACAGTTAGCCACGTACAGACAAAAATTACAAAATGCCAATCCAAACAAATTGTGTGCTTATGTAAAAATAAGTAAATAGATCATACATGCACAGGTTACAATAACCATAACAGAATAAATAATTGTAGGTAATTTATTCGATATGTAAGTGGTAAAATACTGTATATGTATGTACACGAACAAGCAAAAAAATCTCTCTCCCCACACACACACACACACACACACACACACACACACACACACACACACACACACACACACACACACGCCCATATATGTACTGCTCAAAAAATAATAAAGGGAACACTTAAACAGCACAATGTAACGCCAAGTGTTCCCTTGGAGAGAATACCTTCTATATTTTCATGTAAATCAATCAAGAAATACATACAGACATACATAACAGAATTATGTGTCATATAAGGACAACTCAAGACAAATCTAGCAAGCCGATGGTAGCCAAGATTAAGAGGATAAAGACTGAGTTTTTTTCACATACTATAACTGCGTACGCAATCTAAAATTGAAAATACTAATCGTGAAATTATTCTTTTCCATAACTGGAAACTAAAACAACTAATTGAGTGAAAAAGAACTCTCAATCTGCAGTTTAACTTCTGCACGACTGAATCAATACTTGACTTAAAAGAAAGTTGAGGCTCAAACCAAAGGCCCAAATATTTATATTCCTCCGTTTTCTGGTAAGAAACATATCCATTGTTGTCTGTGGTGACCTGGAGATGGAACTTGAATGGTGTTTTTTTTTTTTTTTTTTTTTTTTTTGAGCAGCTTGTTTTTATTTTACTTTGTGCAGTGTCCTTGAGTGTCTTGAAAGGCACCCGTAATTAAAATGGTTTGTGTACATATTAACTATTGAGGTGAACTTTGAAACTAGCATTATAGAGCTCAATTGATAATGTATAATTAGTTCACTTTTAAATTATTCAGTTTGTGGGGAAGCATATCAAGTGGATGTGGTTTCTTTTAACATAAATAGATGGTTAGTTTGCTCAATCACATTCGCAAACAAACATTTATTTAAAGTGTTTGTTAAAATACTCAAACATGTGAAATACAAAGGTTATCTTGAAGATAAGAAGTGCTTTATCAAGTTGTAAATGCCATGGAGGGGTTGCAATCGATGCACGGTGAATCGAAAACAAAATGAAGTGCCATGTCCGTTTAGCAGGGGAAGTTGGAGTCGTCCTTGTTGTCTCAATGTACACCATCCTTTTTAGGAACAGACATGTGAAACCACATACGTCTTTTCCTAAAGGAGATGCAGATGTCGTAAGGAGACTGGATAGTATTGAACATACGCTCCGCAGGCTCGATGAGTTCAAAGTTATGATAAATTACCTTCAATGTATTTGTACATGTGTCCGTAAATTCAGTTGTTGCTGATTTTGAACATTTAGTTGGATTTGAGCTAATCCTGGATTTTAACATGGAATATGTTCGTGGCCGCCACAACATTAGGCACATCTGTGTAATTAATTAACTCATTTGCCTAACAGTGACTATAAATAATGTGCATTTTTCAATCATCCTCTGCCTTTACGAACAAAACAGTCCCAAAGAAAAGCTGATGGAAGGATCAAATGTTGACAACGGCACCTTGAACAAACTTGCTCCTGACATGGCCCAGCACAAATCAAAGGTTGTGGTGCCCAAGTTACAGTATATCCAAACTCCTTCCTGTTTGCCAAGTGGGGAGATGGCCTGTCAGAGAAGGAGCAGAAAGAGGCGGAATCCCTGTATCAGATTTACGGCTACAACGTGTTCCTCAGTAACCGGTTACCACTTGACCGGAAGCTTCCAGACATGAGAGACAGCAGGTAATTTGCTCTGTCTTCATTTCTATGCAAACTTTTCTTCGGAAATTCAAAATCATATTATCTCAAGCGAAATCCACTACAAAAGCACAAAATGCACAACAGTTGACAACCTAATCTGATTAAATATAGGGCAATTACAGAAATGTCCCGAAATAACGATTTTATGAATTCATTGATGAAAGTTGAATCACATTTTTCACCAAATGAAACCAAACTACTTAAGTTACATACAACTTAACTCTACTGAAGTAATTTTATATATATATATATATATATATATATATATTTGTGCTGTCAGTTTAGGGCATTATTATCGGCATTAATCACGTTAAAATTGATTTCAATTTTAACGTGATTAAATTTTTTATCGCGAGATTAATGCGGGAACACATCACAGCGGATGTTACGTTGCTCTATAAATAAACCAGAAACAAAACAACAAGCGTGCTGCACAGGTCCACGCCCATGTCTGTTTTGCTAGCCACGGCAGCACGAGACACCGAAAACGGATACTTAGAGTTTATGAATGGAAGGTTTACTTTTAAAAAGTTGCCAGATGGTTCCACTGACAAGACCAAAGTTACCTGTATGTTTTGCAGTCGTCAAGTGAGCTACCATCACAGCATGTCGAGTCTGAAATACCACAGAGTGGTGTTAATGGCCAAGCACACAGCTGATGTGAGTACTCCGCCCCCTCGTCTAAGACAGACAGCTGTGGATAATTTCAAAGCGAAGAAAATGGATAACACGACAAAGAACAAATTTGCTGAAGCCATAGCTAAACGTATGGCTACTGCATGCAAGCCTGTCAACATTGTCCACAGGTAGACTCAAGCTGAAATCATTCGCATTGCATCGAACGACTCCACTACGGATTGCCAGCGAGAGCCTCCATGACAAGCTATGTACAGAAATTGTACGTCGCGGAGAAGGCTAAGGTACACCAGGGAGAAGACACTGTTTCGGGAGAGAAATAAGAGACTAGGTTGATGAGCCTCTGGTGAATAAAGAGCAGGTAGCCTGTTGAGTACGATGTATGCCACTGACACGATTGTTACTTGTTTGGAACTATTTTGTGTGGAAGGTTACCGTGTTCCGTGTCCATATAAATAAATGGGGTGGAGCTTCTCTGTGTTCGTCTGACAGTGACGGTGCGCTGAGGCACGTAGAGAGTTCAGCGGTGCAGTGGTAGCGACCACACTGAAAATAAAACGTCTCCAGTGGTGTGCCTCGAACCAAGTGTAGTCATCCGAAATTATATCTACACAAAACCATAGAGAGACTTCCGCGCAAGAAGGACCAACAGAATCAAAATAGCCTGACTGCTGTGTTCAAAGCAAACTTGAGAAAAACAAAGTATGCAACCATGGCTTAAATCCACTATAGGCTGAGTCCTAGTTTACCTTAGATGTGCACTTTATAATGTTTTCGACCAGCAACCTTCCGTTTATGTTAATGATGACGCGAAGGTTGCATATATCATGAGCCTATTGACTGGTCAGGCGGCGTCATGGGCAATTGCGGTGAGCGAAGCACAACCGAGCCTCCGGTCTTCCTTCCCCGGCTTCGTGGCCGCGTTTCGTCGGGTGTTCCACCATCCCGTGCGGGGAAGAGAGGCTGAAGGCCGGCTACCTGACCTAATTTTTTTTCACAAAAATCAACTAACTCAAAATGTGAATATTATCGAGGTACAGTGTTCTTCTTGCATATCATTCCAAATACGTCAAAAATTATTAGGCGGACTCACGTAATATAGGGCAGTATAAAAACCGGTGGCAGTGTAACTAAGACATGTCTGTCATTAAGTGGTGACTGGTGAGATTACAACTAAAAACTGCATTAGACCCCTGAATATTTGCAGTTCAGAACTGATGGATTTGCTTTCTTTCCTCAATATTTTTTCCCATTTGGGGAGTCTTCCCTCCCCACATTTCCTCATTTATCAGCAATTGGGGGGTGGGTTGTAAAAAAACAAAGAAACAAAAAAAACAAACAAACAAAAAACAAAAAACATGCACAAAAAATGTTAAATAAAATGTTTTTTTTGGGGGGGGGGTGATTATGCAAGAGACCACTCAATGTCATTGTGGGCTGCATATGACCCGTGGGCCACCAGCTGCCTAATCCTGGTCTGATACCTTCTACTTCTTTCCCATGAAGTGTTTTGGGGTTTGCTGCATGTTGAAGGATCCCCTAATAAGTTTGGTTGCATCATTATTTAAACTGGTTGAATTTCAGGGATTGTTACTGTACATCATCAGAAGAACCAAACTACTTCAAACTATGTTGTGATCATCCCCACTGTTAAATCTCAGGGGTGCAGATGTTCTTTTACCGTTTTTTATTATTTTATTGTTTGGGGGGGCTGGGGGTTCAGCAATAAAATCTACAGCATTCTGTTACAAAGCATATTCAACAGTGCAAACCTCTTTTTATGTAAAATGACAGAAAAACTGGACCCTCATATTTATGAGGGCTGGATGATTATGGAAAATAATCTAACTGCAATTTTTTTCCCCCACAAAACCGCAATTGCGATTTTTTTTTTTTTTTATAAAGTCCTTTTCTCATTTATTTCTCAACCATAAATATTTATTACGACAAACAATATGAGATGCATAATACACTCCAGGATACGAAGGGAAAGGCAAATAAAGCATTAATTAATATAAAAATGTTCTACAATTACATATATGAGCTTACTAAATACTTTGAGGTTCAGTCTGGCAAGTGTTCATCATGGCAACATAATTTTGCTGCACAAGTCTGGTGCAAACAAATAAATCAGCGACAGTAAATCAGGGAAGACAAAAAAAGTCGACCGTGATCGACCGGAAGATCGTGGACTGGTCCCAAGTCGATAGCGAGGGGTGTAGACTTAAATGGAAAAAAAAAAAAAAACGTGTGTCTGTGTGCGTGTTTTTAAAATGACATATTTTTCTGTTCGTGCACACTGCACGCTAAGCATTTTACCAATCTCACTTTCACAAAAAGTAAAATTAAATAAAATAAAAAAGCAGCGACACGCTGCGTGACTGGTTAGCATGTTGGCCTCACAGTGCAGATGTGCACGGTTCGATTCCGGCTCCGGACTTCCTGTGCAGGGTTTCAATGTCCTCCCCTTACTTGCGTGGGTTTTCTCTGGGTACTCCAGCTTCATCCCACATTCCAAAAACATAAACACTCTAAATTCTCCCTAGGTGTGAGTGTGAGTGCGAATGGTTGTTTGTCTATGTGTGCCCTGGCTGGCCACCAGTTCATTTTAAAAAGATCCACGTGAGCTACAATAGTGCCTCCAATGACTCCGTATAATTCACAAACGATTGTATCTTTTTTATTTTTCTGTTTCGTTCAAGTTAGGGGCTGTTACTGCTGATGCCCATCATGGCATGCATGTGTGACTGCGCACATATGCGCACGTGTGCATGGGTGTATATGCGTGCACGTGTGGTAACAGGTCGCTTGCAGGAGGTTGAAAAAGGTTGGGCACCCCGGCTGTAAACCAATAAGTCACGAACTAAACTGCGGATTACTTTGCGTTTTAATTTGTCATGGCTTAAGTCGCCGCACATTATCATCGCCGTGTGTGTACTCAAGCATCAGAAATATGAAAAGCCAAGTGCTTTTCTTGGACATTGCACGGCACACATAAAATATGATAACATGAAAAAAAATACATGAGCGGCACACATCCAACAGCCACCAGACAGTCCTGATACGATGGCAGCCAAAACATGGAAGAATACACAAGTAGAGGGCTCTGGCTTTTTTTTCTTCACACACGGGCAATTCTTGTAAAAGATCAGGCATGTTATCGATCAGGGGTGGCCAACCCGCGGCTCGCGAGCCGCATGTGGCTCTTTGGCCGGTTCAGTGCGGCTCCCGGGCTTTCACACGACAAGCGTCGAAAACACCTCAGCAGTGGCGCTGCCATTCAAACAAATGCACTAAATACACAGAACGTACTATGTCAGCCTATCATTAATCCCGTCACTTGTTTGACATAGAGCATACATGGCAATGGCGAGTGATGAAAAAAGCGGAAGGGGCGTGGCCTGGCCGGGGGCGTGGCCTGGCCGGGGCGTGGTTACTTACAAAAGTGGCACTAAACATGCTGAAGATGAAGTGTATTCAATTTACACACTATTTGAAACTTTAACAGAAAAAAAATCCCAAAGTTGTTCACTATTCTTTCAAGTGAAAATTTGTGCAATTTTGCTTATGCATTCCTAGTGAGCACCAATATGTAACTCAAAATTTGCTGCTCAAAATCAAAACTAAAAAAGTAAACACATCCCCTGCCATATTTAAGATTTGTTCATGACTTGTATTCATAAAGTGTTGTGTAAATGTGATAAAAAGCTGTTGATTCTTACCTCATACAGTGATAGTGAATATTTATTATGCATACAATTTATTATGCATAACCGTGCTTTATTATCCAAGACAAAACGTGAATTATCAATATGAATATAAAACGCAAATAAAAACAAATAAATGTTATCATGCTGTTGCTACAAATGCATACCAAATAAAATTGAAAAGATCATCCTCGTATATTTGAATAAAAAAGTATATACATCGGAGTGTACCTGTCTATCGGCGAGGGGCGTCAGTGGAGCAGATTTCGTTGCTTGGTTCAGCCAAAGTAAGTACCCCAGCGCGTAACGTCTTTAGTTGTATCCGCTGACGAAGTTTGTTTGAAAAATGCCGATCCCAAAGAATAAATTGTCCAAGAGCTTCTGTAACTTCGTCGAACTTGGAGCCAATTTTAACCTTTACAGTGACTTTTCTGTCAAGCCAGTCCAATCGGAATTTATTCTTGACATTTGAGTCAATTTCTAGGATTTAAGACTCCTGATCTTTCGTCAAAAATTTCATAATTCCGCTCAAAACGATCCGAGAACAATGAATTTGCGAGACGAAGAGGCCGCCATGAATCAGGTAAAACAATATGTTACATGCAATTTGATTGGTCCAATCGCTTGTAGTTAACCAATCGCTGGGCCGTATATAATCGAGCTAAGACTCCCGCAACAAATAATGCCTTCAATGATCTGATTAGTTGAAGCTTTCATACACGTCCAATCGCAGGGCTGTTTACAAACGGAAAACAGAGAGACTGTTCGGGAGAGCTCGTGAAAACTCGACGATAAGGTATCTGACCGCCCCTAAATTTTTCTCAACGGATTTAGACGATTCACAAAAATGATCAATTTAAGAAATAAAACGGCGGATTTCCGTGGATCCGCGGAAAATTGCCATGTATGCATAGAGCCCAACCAGTCAGATGACTGAATCACCGCTCATGCTCAAACAACGGCGCTTAGTGCTAAGCTAGTCAGCGAGTTACCTCTGATTTTAAGGCAGGGGTGCCCAATACTCGATCACAATAGACCGGGAACCAGTGGACTGGTCCCAAGTCGACCGCAAGGGGTGTGAGGAGGAAATGGGTTGGGGAAAAAAAGATTTGTGTGTTTGTGTCTTTAGATTTCGTTCATGTTCAGGCCGTTCCTGCTGTTGCTCATCGTGGCGTGCATGCATATGTGCGTGAGTGCATGATTGGGCAACCACGTGCGTGCGTGCGTGCGTGCGTGTGTGTGTGTATGCTTGCACATGCGCGATCGGGTCGATCGTGGGAAGTTGGTCGCTTCAAAAGTCGATCTTTGGGCAAAAAAGTGTGTGTGTGTGTGTGTGCGCGCGCGCGCTGCAAGATGTGGCTCTTTGCAGTCACACTGTAAAAAAATTGGCTCTTAGTCTATGACTGGTTGGCCATTCCTGTTATAGATACTCACTTCAGTGTCTCGTGAGATGTAAACCTGCTGAAAGCTAGTGCTTCTGCCTACTGGGAATGCCCTCTGCAAGCTCCTACTTCTCCAAGACAGTTATAAAAGTAAGAGTGGCCGGGAGCAGGCGCCAATTAAGTGCGTGCAAAGGGGATGGAAAAATCATTTGTATGCAGAAAAATATAAAAAAATAAAGATAAAGAAAATATAATAAATTAATTGCAAATATTGATAATTGTGTGGGACAAATAAAGGATATCTTATCTTATCTTAATTTAGCTTTTGGGATCGATCCTCTAAATGTCGTTTCGTTTCGTTTGTTTATTGAACATAAAACATTTACAGTAATAATTTGACAGAAAGTAAGGTAAGTAAAATAGTAAAAAGGAAAGAGAATCAGTCATCATTCAACACATTATTATGTTCAAGGGAGTAGGAAGAAGTAAAAAAATTATCTAGTCCTACCCCATGTTATGTGTTTATATATAAATAGATCATTTTTATATCAATCAAAAAAGAAAGAAAGAAAAAAGAAGTCTCCATTAAGGCTCATGCTTTACCCTTAACGGTGATATTTTTACAATTTTTGGTTTGTATCGGGATTTTATACATACACACCCTGGCACTCGTGTCAATTTTCTCTTGTATTCATAATGGATATTGCAGTACCTTTCTCTATTTATCAACTTAATTCTGATTTATTATTATCTTTAATTAATGTTTAGAATTTATCACCTTAACTCTGATTGATGTAGGTTGTTTGAACTATTTTTTGAATTTGTTTTTGAACTCAGCAAGCAATTTACTCATTTTCAGGTCCGTTTCGAAATTATTCCACAGATTAACACCTTTGACAGATACACTTCTTTGCTTGATGTTTGTTCTTATTTTGAGTTTTTTGAATAAGTTGGTACTTTTAATTCATAGCAGCTTTCTCGATATATCGATTAATAATAAGTATAATGTGTACAAAGATCTCATATTTAGCACATCCTTGGTTTTGTGTCACTATGCAGTGAAATATCGATAATATGGTATCGATCCGCCCGTGCCGAGTGTGTACTTCCGTTTTGTACTGTCATGGCTGCACCCTGTTCGCGTTAGGTCAAGCTAGCTGAACACATTTGCCTTCCACAACGCTGCTCTTTCGAGTGCAGGAATGACGTTGAAAGATGCTAGGAAGTGGAACCGATCTGTATCTACGGTTTACGTCCTGGGTGTGTGGACAATGATCGGCTCCGTTGCATATTTGTATTACACGGGTCGTTTCAAAAATAGCACAGGTAAGTGGATGTGATGAGGGTTCAACTTTTACTGCGAATCGAATGATCAACAAAGCTTCACGTGTTTTTATTTGTATGTGCAAATTAAAATTGATATGCTAAGATTTAAATGGAGCGCCCTCAGCGTTTGCTGGCGTAATTTTCCGGTTTTGCTAAAAATCTGAGGGTCTGTGACGCTGTAATCATGGATTGTTGGACTATGGAGATAAATTGCCTTTTTTTGTGAAGGTGTTCTGTGAGACTATTTTGCATTTGCTAATTCCCTCAACTTGTGTCCCATCAGACTCGGCTCAAAATGAAGAGGCAACAACCGGAGTACCGAAGAATCCAAATGAATTTATATACCAGACTCCTCACAACAAAACTATCGTCGTCTACAAAAAAGACTTTGTTCCATACACCACAAGGATCTACAATTTCGTTCAGTCATTCACCGGTGGTCCTGGGACTGCAGACAAATGAAATTAAAAATGGACAATGTGGATTAGTATGGAGGGCACACTATGATGCCGTACAAATCAATACATATGTGTGAGGGTGAACTCCAGTCAACTAAGTACAACTCCAAGAAAGCTACCATCTGCTTTTGGGTTGTCATGTCATGTGCTAAAAAAGGCAATATTATTTTCTATACCTTGGTTCACAGTTGTGAAATAAATTGTGTTCAAATATACATTACATACTGTACAGTCCTTGGCATCAATAAAAAAGGCAGGGTTTTCTGTTGTACATGGACAAATGTCATTGGTTTGTTGCTGTTGAGGGAAAATAGTTAAATTTAAATTCATACTGAAAATTAATTTTCTACTGATTAAAAATTCATCGATTAGATGGTCAGTATTTGGTGGACAATATTCAAAGTCATAATTTTCTCCCACACAGATATCAGTCATGATCCCAACTTATCATTTTATGTGGTCTGTGAACATTTGGCATATGCTGTATTTTCCTTGAATTCTGTTCAAAACTATCCATCCATCCATTGTGTGAAGAGATTTATCCTCAGGAGGGTGACGGGTGTGCGAGTACCCTTGAAGCCACGGGCAGAACATGTAAACTCCACACAGGAAGTCCGGTGGCCAGAATTGAACCCATGACCTCTGCACTGTGAGGTGGACCCGCCTAAATATTGTAAGCTTGTGCCATGCCGTGTGCTGTCCTGTGTTCTTCCATGCCATGGGTGCTTTGCAAGCCATGTGTGTAAATGCATTACTCAACTTTTGACGAGCGGATGCCATGGCTGTTTCATATTAAATGTGAATAAATCTTTCTGTTGACACAAAAGATGAGCATTCTTTCCTAAATGCATTTGTTACATTTCCTGTGTTTTCACTGTTATAAGTGGTCCTATGAAAAGCAGTTTGAGCATTTGATATCCAGGGCACACAAGTAGAATGACTTAAGTGTCACGTTGGCCTGCTACTTCTCAACTCAACTGTATTTATATAGCACTTTCAAACAGCCATCGCTGCATACAAAGTGCTGTACATGGAGCAACTAACATATACAACAGTAAAGCAACAACTTCACAATTAAACCTTAATAATAAGCCAATATACTGCACTAGTAACACGTTCAGGCCCAACTAGTAGGCATGTGTCACGGATTCGTTGCCTCCTTAACAAAGAATAAATGCTGAAACGGCTTCAGCGGGCCACCTGAGGGGAACCATAACTGCTGTCATGTACTGTAATGTAACGTAAGTGAAAATGAAACTCCGGAAAAGAACCCGTAGAGGGGGACAAAGTCCCTTCCACTTCGTGCCCGTATGTGTATGTACTAGATGTGCCAGTGTGCTGAGAAACATACCGGGAATCAAAACAATGAAAGCGATCATCCAAAGAGTTACCAGGGCGTCTGTGACAGGTGAACGGTTTCCTTGATTTGAAAGACTGTGCTGTGCTGTGGGTGGATGGGGTACCGATCATTTCAATAGGGTCTTGAATGCACGTTAAGCTAACAGTAGCCTAGTTAGCATTAGAGCGACTTCATACTTGTGTACTTCAAGCAAATATGTCTACATATTAAAGTTAGGGGTACACGTAACCCTCGGAGTTGGTCACTCAATGCTAATATCACTGCAGAACAAATGTATCATCTGGAAGCTGAAAGTTGACCTGAATGGCTGCTACCCCTTCATGCTTTCGCGTTCACACTCAGAAGTGCACTTGATCCACTCATCAACTTGTTCTCCTTTTTCCTGCAGTGGGAGACGATACGATCAGTTCAATAGGACGGGGTTTGTGTGTGCTGCTCGGTATATCTGTGGAGGACACCCACACAGATGCCGAGTACATGTAAGTGTTTGAGGTATCCCGAGTGAAAACTTCTCACAGCGACATATTGCTTTGAAAATAGTTGGATAAAGAACAGTCCTTTCGCATCAAGTGAGCAGTCTCAATGTTTTGTCACTGCAATTAAACGTTGTGACGCTGAGGAAAAAAATCGGTGATATCACACAGTATCAGCTAGCATCACGAAATGAAAATGTTGTCTACATCCGATCCTTTCTCAGCCTAACCTTACCTCATAGTTGTGGCCAAGACATTTACCATCATATATAAAAGACATCCCCATTTTGACACTTTTTTTATGTAAGAAATATGATCAGTGTTGGATGAATAAAAGAAAATATGAAACATTTACGGAAAGTGCGAAAAATGAATTAAAACAATAAAAATCCTTCATTAGGGAAAACCAAGAAAACGTTGCTAAGTGTGCACATGGTAGACTGAAGTCATTACATTCAAGCTCACATTTGACTAACTACTCCCATTTATTGAATGCATCAAAGGTATTTAACTGCTGAAATCAAGAGGTAAATTTATTTTCCATGGATGACTCTAGTTGTGTCCTTTCAAGCTTGGTAGATATATCGGGGGGTCTGTTGTGGCCCCCATTTCACAGATTTGTCTACATTTATGTTTTGCTTGCAGCATACGCAAGATCCTGAACCTGCGGCTGTTTGAAGATGAGAATGGTCGGGCTTGGAGCAAAAGTGTCATGGACCGAGACTATGAGGTTCTGTGTGTGAGCCAGTTTACACTACAGTGCATACTGAAGGGCAACAAGCCGGACTTCCACTTGGCGATGCCCACAGAATTGGCCCAACCTTTCTATGCCAGCATCCTGGAGAACATGAGGAGTGCCTACAAGCCTGAACTGGTTAAAGGTGGGTCAACTAATGACACCTTCACTTGGTATGTTCTAATAAAGTTTGACATAACATAATATTTGGAAAAAGATTGCCTAAGTGTGAACCACTGGGTGTTTCCAAATGCGCTGGTTAAAGGTGGGTCAACTAATGACACCTTCATACGGTATGTTCTGATATAATTTGGCATTACACACTAATTGGTAAAAGATCATATCTGCCCGAAAAGTGTTACCCTCTGAGCATTTACACATGCACTCAGTGGAGTTATTACGGTAGGCTCACAGTCTAATTAAATTACAGACATGAGCTTTTTCATTGACTGAAATACTGTAATAATTTTACTTTGTTTTTTTTTTAATTTCCTTCATTTAGTTCATTCATTTCTAAAAGAAGAAACAACAATATAATATGAAATACAAATGTTCTCCAATCTAGTATGAAATGGAGCAGGAAGAAGCCGAAGTCTTCTTTAATGTGCCCCCTTTTTCCTCAGAAATAGCAAAACATTGTCAACATGATGCGGTAAAGGGAGTAGTTTTACATCACATCAAACTAATTGTCCCACTCAACTTCACTGGCGGAAACCTGGATTTTTCTTTTTTTGACAGCTCTTATGGGCCACAAAAAAATCTATTATTTTCTTCAGTTTTGATCCCTGCATTTTTTTCCATCATATACCGGTAGTTGGAGTCGTGCACTGGGGTCCGTCATGATTACTTAGATTTCAATCATATCTGTCGAATAAAATTTAAAGGAGTTCCATTTCTATGGCTGTGACGAAAACGAGTTTGTAAGTCAGAAGCGCCATTCTCTATTGCTACCCGACGGTCTACCGCCCACCACCCCACATGTCCTACTTCAGCCACTGTTGCTTTAAAGTGTGTTCAACTTTCTTTGTCCCTACTAGGGAGAGCAATTAACATTTATCCATGCATCACAGTGCACTACTGCACCACTGTGCTATTTATCAAAATATGAACTGAGAGAGTCGAGTTAGCCTAAAACAGGCTGTGGAAAAACACATAACTTCGATCAGTAAGTTAAAACAGTTTTGGAGGCCGCTAAGTGTGGAAGCGCGTTAATGGTGACACTGATCTGGTGGTCAGACCACCAGGGAGCAAATAGAGAAAACACCTCGGTATAAATGAGGACTTCTCATGAGCCCCAGAGAGGAAATATGCATTCTTCAAGCATGGGCCAAATACTTAGTGTGCAGATAGGGTCATTAATCTCTCTGACCCAGTGGTAACATTTAGGCTGTTGTCACACTTTATAGCTGTCTGCATCCTTGCTTGTCTTTCAAACCATTCTTTTTTGTGTGTGTGTGTGTAAATGCAGTATTTTGCTTAAAATGTCTCAAATGAGGGCGGCCCCGTGGTCGACTGGTTAGCACGTCGGCCTCACGGTGCAGAGATGTCGAGTTCGATTCTGGCTCCGGCCTTCCTGTGTGGAGTTTGCATGTTCTCCCGGTACCTGCGTGGGTTTTCTCTGTACACTCCAGTGTCTTCCCACATTCCAAAAACATGCATGGCAGGTTTATGGAACACTCTAAATTGTCCCTAGGTGTGAGTTTGAGCGCAGATGGTTGTTTGTCTATGTGTGCCCTGCGATTGGCTGGCAAACCAGTTCAGGGTGTCCCCCGCCCACTGCCCAAAGACAGCTCGGACAGGCTCCAGCACGCCCCACGACCCTTGTGAGGAAAAGCAGATCAAAAAATGGATGGATGAATAGATAGATGGATGGACGTCTGAAATGACACTTCATAATTGAAAGATAAGTCAATATTTGCAAAGCACACAGTAGTTTGTCGCACTTGAATTCAGCTGCAGATTGTTAGAGCTGCTGCTGTTCAGGTTGCCAGTCACAGTAATGAAGGCTCTTTTGAGTGATGCTTAGTTTTTTTTTTTGTCCCTTTTAACTTATACCGTTTACTGTCTTAGATTGTATGATGTGGCCCATATATGGAGAGGTGGCGTGTCGAATTGTGTCCCACACTGCTGCTCTACCATCCGATTGCAGTGGGCATAAAAGGGATGGGGAATTTTGTTTTAAAAAAATGACTAAATTAAAATTTAAACATGTCAAAATAAGTAAGATTTAAAATGGGCTGTTATGACCTTTTCTCATGCAAATTCCTACAAACGGCATTTTATTTATTTATTTTTACTAGAGCTGTCAGTTTAGCACGTTTTTATTGGCATAAATTTAAATGAATTTTAACGGGATTAAATCTCGCGAGATTAACGCCACAGCGGATGTTACGTTGCTCTATAAATAAACCAGAAACAAAACAACAAGCGCGCTACATAGGTCCACACACATTTGTTTTGCCAGCCATGGCAGCGCAAGACACCGAAAACGGGTACTTAAAGAGTTTATGAATGGAAAGTTTACTTT